GGACGGGGATACAGCGCGATTCCAAGGACCCGACCAATTTGGTCTCTGAATTGGTCCGAAGCGCCCGCCCCTAACGATCAAAGTCAACCCTAGAATCAGGTTACGAGACCAAATGTACCGCACGTGATCCTTCTAGGTATTCCCCCGCGAAGTTGCGGACGGCCTCGATGGGCACACACCAGCCCCATGCACTCGGAAGAATATAAATTACATTAAATTAGACGTTTTTAACGTACTGGAGGGGTTTTAGACATGTTCAGAAGGAATACGCTTGTGGTACAGCATGTATACTTGACCAGGAAGAGCTAAAGTTACTCTATGTGCATACATTCGCGGCGGCGCGCCGCCGCGAACCTCCAAAAAAGCCAGAGGATATCTCTTGTAAATTTTGGGCACTTTGAAACGACTTTGAGCGATGTTCGAGCACATAAACACCGTCCACCTCGTCCTCCGCTTCGCGGGTAGTCATAATATAAGCGCCCATATCCGTACAGTGCGGCGGCGTGAGCCGCCGCGAAGCTCTCGCAAATCCATATATTTCTGACTCAAAATTTGCAGGTAAGTATGGTTAATATGTATGCATCGTACGCGACGCTCGCGCAGAAGTCGCGCGCCAGGGCAGTCGAGTGCGCGCCCTTGCACGTCCCGAACGCGCCTTCGGCGCGCGCGACCATCCCACCCTGGGCACCATATATGGGCCGCTGCGCGGCCCGTTTCGCACCGTCCGAGCCCTTGGTATGACTAATTTTCCGGACGGGGATACAGCGCGATTCCAAGGACCCGACCAATTTGGTCTCTGAATTGGTCCGAAGCGCCCGCCCCTAACGATCAAAGTCAACCCTAGAATCAGGTTACGAGACCAAATGTACCGCACGTGATCCTTCTAGGTATTCCCCCGCGAAGTTGCGGACGGCCTCGATGGGCACACACCAGCCCCATGCACTCGGAAGAATATAAATTACATTAAATTAGACGTTTTTAACGTACTGGAGGGGTTTTAGACATGTTCAGAAGGAATACGCTTGTGGTACAGCATGTATACTTGACCAGGAAGAGCTAAAGTTACTCTATGTGCATACATTCGCGGCGGCGCGCCGCCGCGAACCTCCAAAAAAGCCAGAGGATATCTCTTGTAAATTTTGGGCACTTTGAAACGACTTTGAGCGATGTTCGAGCACATAAACACCGTCCACCTCGTCCTCCGCTTCGCGGGTAGTCATAATATAAGCGCCCATATCCGTACAGTGCGGCGGCGTGAGCCGCCGCGAAGCTCTCGCAAATCCATAATATTTCTG